CATTCTGAAGTTAAAAATTGCCAAAAGATAAACCATGGGTATTTATTATTTAAGAACTGCTGAGAGTAGAACTGGGAAGAAGCAAGAGTTTTGTCATAATTGAAAAAAGAAGCTTATGGGGAAAAAAGTCGAACAATAATATATTATCCTGATAAGAAACCTATCTTACTTTTTCTTTTGTTTTAAAAGCCTGTCACATTTCCTGCTTTGACATCACAGAAGCAAGAGTTAGGTGCTCTTCAGTTAGCCTGTGCTCTCATTCTGTTTCTCCACTTCCTGATTTCAGCTAGTACTATACTGAATTTCAGAAAAAGAGTAGATCTCAGACAGAGTCTTGACAATTTCCTTGGCAAACCTGTAAGTCTGGGGAAGCTTCACTATCCTTTTTTGTCATATTCCTGAAACTTTACTTTGTATATACCTTAAGAGTTGCCTGATTTCAGGCATTACTTCAACAGGCACATTTTAATTTCCTAAATAATATCTCACAATGTATGCAATAAGCTATTGAAGTAACACCTAAATTTTATTTAAATCCTCAAACTTGACATACTGAACAAATAAACTGGTATTTCAAAGTACATTTTCTTCTACAAAGTGGAATTACTGAATCTCTTTATTATGAACAAATAAACATCTATAGAATTTTAGAATCAATTGGAAGGAAACCTAGCTCCAATCATAAATAGGGCTATACCTAAAACTTGTTCAATAGCAGATGATTTTTTTAAGGGGGATGGTACTGAAATTTTGTAGAAATAAATTAATAATCAAGAATCAGTGCAAAATTCTAGTTCCATGGACCCAGCCACAGTGATACATGCTGTCAAGACACTATGCTCCACAGGCTGGGACCATAAGAAAGGCCTGGGTTCAATTCCTGGTTCAACTTAAAGACTTAACATGGTGGTGTATGCCTATATTCTTAGGCACTCAGAAGCCTAAGTTAGGAGGACAGCAACACAGTGAGACCCCGTTTTAAAATAAAATAAAGACAAACAAAAAAAGTTTTTACTGTAACAAACTTTTTTTTTTTTTTTGAGAGGTTTTTTTCTGCTATAGGGCACGTGCGCTCACCAGAGATACAGAGAGACAGAAATCAAGAAATCACCCCCCGGGGGGGATGGCCATGCCGTAATCCCTTCTCCTCCATTCTCTTCTCGGGATCTTGGGCATGCACGCACATGCACCCGGCGTGAGTTAAGCCATGAGGTCCGAGACTCAAACCGTGGTCAACTACATGGGAGTCTAACAACGTAGCCGTTATGTCAACTGCTGGTCCCCAGTAACAAACTTATTAATACATTGGCCTCTGTGCTTTGGAGTATCTAATCACTGGTCCAATGCAGATTTGATAGAATTCAGTTTATTTTTAAAGTCAAATTTTGGCAATGTTTTCCCTTTTTTTAAAAAGGATTACTTTATTTAACTTATTTATTTCAATTTGACCAGAGACAGACGGAGTGAGAGTGAGAGAGAGAGAGAGAGAGAGAGAGAGAGAGAGAGAGAGAGAGAGAGAGAGAAAGCAAGCCACCAGGTCCGGGACTTGAACCACAGTTGGCCATGTGGGAGTCCAGTGCCCTTAACAACCATGCCACCTGCTGGCACCAGCAAGGTTTTCTTAATATAACCTTTAGTGCTCCCAAAGGGCTTTTTGCATTTATCACATTGTGTTTTAAACATGATGATAATCATACATTTTTTGGAATTGCATAATTCAAATGATAAAGGGATTTACTTAAAAATATAGTCTCAAGTCTAAATTTTTGCTGTCAGGTGATCCAAGGTAGCATCAAATAATGTGAGTGCCTAGGAGGCTATATGATGTCTGTGCTGGGAGAAGCGGGAACATCAGCATCTCTTTAAGACCTAGCCTGAAGACCTCAGCAAACAGTGGAAAGGGAGGAGAAATTGTGACTTTGAGAGACCCTCCTTTGTGCACATTGGACTTTCTATGCTCTTCTCTTTGTTGTTCATTTCCTCCAAATCTGGAGGTGACTGAATGTAAAGATGATTGCATCTCCAACCCATATTAAAAGTGTTGCATCAGCCTAAACACAATTAATGTAATTACTTTGTTGATATTCAAATGTTAGAATAATGCCTGCTTATTAAAATCTCTAAAGAAGATGCTTAAAACAAATATTCTGCACAAACATCCCAATAAAGACATACCAACCAAGTTGGTGATAATCTGAAGCAATGGTAAAATCTCCAGAAAGGACATTTAGAAATCAATTCTTTGCAACACTGACTAGGATTTCCTAAGGCCCTCTTTAGCCTTTTCCCCCAAAGATTCTTCAAAGTCTTGCTCCTAGTCTTTGACTGCTTTCCATTTGTCCTTCCCTGTCCAACCCTTTGTCCGCTCCCCAAACAGTCTATGACATCCTCTTGGCTGAACTGTTGTGTCTCCCTAGACCTTATACCCAATGGCTGGCTTCTCATTAAAGGTTTTGAAATTCAAGGAGAAAACTCTTTGTGTTCAAAAGCATCTCCCCTTCCTTCTGCTGCCTTTCCTGAGCCTTACATGGACAGGAGGGTGGGTTCCAAAGGCACCCAGCCCAGACAGCCCTGGCCTAGAATGGGTCTCTGCTACTTTATAATCTATATCCTTGAGTAGGTTCCTGGGGCTGGTTTGCTCATTTATACCATTTTGGATAATAACACCTATTTGCCTCTGGCAAATGCATGCACCCTCTAGACAAATTTTTAAAAATAATAATGCCTATTTCCTTAGATTGAAGGAATCAAAGATAATTCACATCAGTAATGGCTGGCACATAAAGGCTCAATGGATGGTATTGCTATTATTAAGTCTGGGTCTTTTACCATATTTAATTTTCTAAGCTTTTGAGACTCTACCTATTATTGCCATTTTTGAAATCACTCTCTGCTTTTCAGTAGATTATTTTTCCCTGATTTAAATTTCTGTTAAGTCTCTGTCCTACTGGAAAGTAAGATAAAAAGGAACTCAAAGATGTTAAAATTCACTATCTTGTACTACAGGCTGGTTCTAAAAATCACCAGGGAAGGTGGACCAGCAGGTGGCATGGTGGCTAAGGCATTGGCACTCCCACATGGCCAACTACAGTTCGAGTCCTGGACATGGTGACTTGCTTTCTCACCTTCCCTCTCTCTTTCTGTCTCTCTCTGGTCAAAAAAATAAAAAAGAAAAAAGAGAAAAAAGAATAAATACAATTAAATAAATAATTATTTAAAAAATTACTAGGGAAGATAAAGTTACCATTTTCCTTTGAATTTTTTGTAATATTACAGTGTTGCAAGTGTTCTTTATTTAATCTTTTTATTTTTAATTATATTCCTTGTACTGGGCTAAGTAATTCTGTTCCTTTAATATTGATTCAAGCTTTCATCAAGTGATTTCTAAGTCCAACTGCTTAACTCTCTCTTCTTGAAATGGCCAAGCTACCTATTCCTCATGTTAATAGTCTTTCTTTTGTAAGTGAATTGCTAATCTGACACCTCCCCTGTTTATCACTTCCTGGAGTTCATTCCTGGATTGAGGCACCAATGGTGAAATGGTAAAAGTAACTGTTAAATGATGCATTTATATCACTCAAAATTATTAGCTTCCAAATCACATTAAGAAAACAAAGCTGAGATTAAATGTCTATAACATTTACAGCCTGAGGCTTTAAATGACGTTCATTTTAAAAGTAATTATGCCTACTAATGTTAATTTAAAAAACAAAAAAAGGAGAGAGAGAATTATGAAAAGGGAAAAGGGAGTTATTTCAACGGGATCTCACCATGCCTCACTCCCCCAGTCTGTCAGTTAAGTAGAATTACAAGTGCATACCAATGTAACCTGGCATGTGTAAGCTGGTCAAGATCCAAGTCCAGGCTTTCCATGTGGCTCCCACATTATGCAGTGGTGTCCTAACCACTTGCACTACTACTACCAGCTGGGCCTGCTATTAAATTTTGAAAGATATACACTAATAGCACATATTTTTAAGAAATAAATGAAATTAGGTTCTCTAATACTTTAAACAAATTCAAAACTAAACTGGAATTCAGTCCTAACTCACTCAATTTTATTCCTCTTCTAAGATGAAATCTACTACTGGCCAAATCATTATAATTAAGCAATATTGTTCTGCACAGCAATCCAAATAAGAAGCTATAGTAAATACTTACCAACAGTTCATGTAAAAGTTTCAAGAAAGTGTGACTATTAGGATTTATACCACAGCTACAGATGTGTCATTATTATGCCTTTATTTATTATGATTATGTACACTTGTCTTCAAACATTTAATGATTATTTTTCAATTCATATTTTACAGTTGACAGCAGGTGGGGGAAATTGTTCATTGTTTGGGTCACAAATAAAAATATTTACACCTAATTCACTAGTAGAATCATATTTCTGAAGCATACCCTCCAGAAATATATCCCAAGCATTTTCAACTGCAACTGCCCCTTAAAAAGTTTTCCTTGCAGGATTTGCTTTATTGCTTTATTTTAAGTTTAAAATAATTTAACAGCTTGCCTGACCATTTGTGGTAGCTTTCTTTTCCCCTGTGCTATTACTAGAGATGTTCATGTTACTATTTTTATCTTTTTTTGTTTGTTTGTTTCTTTCCCACAGACCATATATTTGTCTGTAATTCCACTGAACTTCTCAGAGACCATGTTATTTAGGACAGCTGCATGGGGCCTATTCCAGGTTCCAGGGAAGCACTCTATTTAGATTCATTGAGAGGTACAAGAAATGTTAACAGCAATTCAAGTAGTTGAGCAAGTGTACATTTCTGCCTATACACACATTTTCAACTTTCGGTGGAACTCACAATTTATGCTTCTTTATGATTTATTCATTCATTTTGTTTGCTGCATCACAGCAAAATAAAAAAGAGATTTGGGGTTTTGCCTTGTCTTACTGATGCCATAAGTAACAAAAAGTTATCCAGGTATGGCTCATCATTTTCTAGGTGTTTGAACAAGCTGTATTTCTGGTAGGTTTGTGAGCTTACCTTGTCTGACGGCTAGTGTGGTGGTATAGACCAAGAAGAGAAGGATGTAATTGAGGAAACTCTGGAAGACTGGCGTATTGGCATGGAAATCTTCTGACAAGTACTTGCTAGTCAAACCAATTCCACAAATAAGAAGTGATAACACCTGGCCCAGAGCAACAGAGATTAACATCTCCCTAAGAAAGAAAGAGAAACAGTAAATATTAGCAGGAAGTCTATCAAAACAACAGCAGTTAAAATGTACTGTAAGTGCAAAAAATAATATTTCTTTTAACCCATCACAGAAATCCTATGAGCAAAGTATAATTATTACCAAAGTCGACAGAGGAAAAAGCCAAAGCTTAGAGTGGTAGAGGACTTTGCTCAGTCACATAAGTAAGAGGTGGCAAATTTGGGATTTGAGAGGAAATCCCTCCAAAGAAACCTGGCTTTTAGCTGCATGTTGTAGCTTTTAGGGAAATAGAGACCTTATCTTGATGCCTACCAAAGTGTTCATTAAATATTCAGGGTTGCTGAGTGAGTACCAGAATATCTACCAGAAGGGCCTTACTTTGGCCTTATCATCAGGTTCTCGCACCAATAAAAGGAGATTCTTTTTTGTATAGATTAAAATCCTAGATCCAAGGGACCAGCAGTTAGCATAATGGCTACTGGAACCCCATGTAGTCGACTGTGGTTCGAGTTCCGGACCCAGTGACTTAAACTCACACTGGGTTTGTGTGCGTGCGTGCCCAAGATCACAAGAGGAGAATGGAGGAGAAGAGATTGCAGCATGGCCATTCCCCCTGGGGGTTGATTTCCCGCTTTCTGGTTCTCTGCCTCTGTCTGGTGAGCGCACACGCCCTATAGCAAAAACCTCTCCCCCCACAAAAATAAAATCCTAGATTCAAGAACACCTAGGGGAAGGGGCTGTATGAACCTCCAAACATGCAAAAGGACCATTTATTTCCCATTTCTGGACTTCAGATGCCAATTTGTTTTAGAAAGCTTTAATAAGCATTAGAGTTCTGTTTTCTTCTGCTCAAGTTAAAATTGGCTACACATTAAATGATATTCATGATCGGTACTGTGGTAGCTAAAACACCTTTAAAACTATGCAAATATTTTCTGTTTGTGTGTTTTTTTCTCTTCATAGGCCATCATCCCTGTAGACTAGTGTAGTGAGAACTAGAGGCAAGCATCAGGGCATACATTTTGCACATGAATAAAATGCCTACACAAGCTTTATGGTCTCATATGCGTGCATGCTCTGATGCACAAAGAGCCCCTAGAAACACAAAGCAGACTTCCGCCCTCCCTGAAAGGCTCATCTGGTTTATTTATAAAAACAGCAATTCAAAGTAAGAAAGTAGTAGTATTTGTAAATAGAAAAAACTTTAGGCCAAGGACTTACAGTGTTACATATTTCCTCCTCTATGGTTGACCTAAGTGCACTGTTTTGTTTTTATGATTTTTTGCATAGGGTAAATGTGCTCATCGAAGACAGAGAGAAACAGAGAGAGGGAATCACCCCTTAGGAGTAATATCACACCACAATAGCTTCTTCATTGTCCTCTTGGGATTTGGGCATGTATGCACACGCAACGAACTTGGGTTTCAATCTGCCAAGTCTGGGACTTAAACAGTGGTAGGCCATGTGGGAGTCCAGCACCTTAACCATCACGGCATCTACCGACTCTGACATAAGTCCACTTTTCTGAAAGAAGCAGAGTCCTGGGCAATACTTTGGTATAGTTTGCATTTAAAAAGGAAAGGCAATAGTCACATTTTTTTTCATTCCATCTGTTTTCATGAAAAAGCAGGAGGCGTGTGGATCCATGGAGAACACTTTCTTGAGGTTAACATATTTCCAGTATAGGCCCCCAATTTTAATATTTACAAAGAAGTCAAAGACATATTTTTAAACATATATATTTAAAATGTCAGTTGGCTGCTTAAAAGTTCATAAAGTTCCTTACAGAATACAGTGACCTACCTATAAAGCCTGGGAAGCCAACTACTCAGAGAGCTGCCGACAGCCTTTGACACTCACGCTGCTTCTCTCAATGAGAGGTAAGGTCTGTTTCTGCTTTTCAAGGAGCCACATTTGTCTTGTGACTTGCTTTAACCAATAGAACATGGTGGGGAACAGATGCCATGTGACTTTGGGGCCTAAGACCTAAGAAGCTCTGCAGCTTCCGTTTTTGCCTTCCTAGGAGATAGCTTTCAGGTAAAGAAACCTGAAGTAGACATATTGAGAGACCACATGGCAAGAGCAAGAGAAAGCCAAGCTGCCACCATTTTCTTAGTTAAAGGGCATATAAGTGAGGATTTTGGATCCTCCTGACCCAGGCAAGCCATGCCAACCTATGTCATATGGAGCAGAGATGAAGCCCCTGAGAAACTGGCCCAATTAGAGAATTGCAAGAAAGAATAAATGATGGCATTTTAGGATGTACTTTTTTAAAAGAATTATTTTATTTAACTTTATTTTTAATTTTAATTTTGAACAGAATGGGACAGAGAAAGAGAGAGAGAGAGAGAGAGAAAGTGAGAAAGCAAGCCACGAGGTCCAGGACTTGAACCACAGTGAGCCATGAGAGAGTCAAGCACCCCTAACCACCACACCACCTGCCAACCCCTGGGATGTGAGGTTTTACCGTACTTTGTTACACAGCGACATAACAACAGATACCTAACACAATGACCTAAATGTTCCACTCTTACTACCTCCGGCGCTTCAACCCCTGCTTGCCCCATACTATTCCTCCATAAAGTCGAGTTCAAGCCCTAAAGAACTATTTGCACTTCAACGGTGAGTCATGTTCTTTGCCTACATTGCTTTGCACATGTTATTTCCAGAATGCTCACTTTTACGTTGTCAGTCTGATTTCTATTCATCGTTCAAGATCTGGCTTATATGTTCTCTACCATTTCTTCCCTGAGAGGCATCTCCTTTATTACTTCTATCTCATTGTATTATAATTACTACTTTCATACCTCTTTTGCTCTGCCAGACTGAGAAGCTTGTACAATGTTCTTCATCCTATCTATGGCAGAGCAATACTATTCAGAGGAAGTAGAAATGCATGGATTCAGGCAGGGCAAAGGCACGCCCACCCAACATGGAACAGTTTTATTGGAATGCAAAGCAATTTTTAAAAAAAGTAAAGGTAAAAATAAGTACTAGAAGTAACTCAAAAGTTCTTAATGCTGCCTAAGGGAAGTGCAATGGCCTTTGCCAAAAATCTTAAAGAGTTGGTTTAAGTGAAAAGAGAGCTTTAGGAAATCTCAAAGTGTGGATTGGAAAGGGAGAAAAATCACATCAGTGAAGTCAGAAGTGGTTAAAGAACTAAGATGAAAACCAAGACAGTTCTTGATGCCAAGGAAAGGAAGGGAACTGAGATGTTCCGGCAGTAGTTGTAATATTTAATGCTACCTAGAGAGCAGGGAGAATGAGGACCAGCAAGAGATGATTGGCAGTCACTGTCAGCCTTTAAAAGACCTGTTTCATTTGATTGGAAAGTACCAAAACAGTGTTGTTGTCACAGAAAGCAAGGGAACGGAGTGCTTCATGGAGGAGATTGTTAGTAGAGAATTAGTAGACAGGAAGTGGTGGAAAATAAAATGGGCTGACTTAGAGGAATTCAAAGAACCCTTTAAAGAAGTTGGATCTAGTCATTATATAACATAGTAATAACAATGACAGTTAAAATAGTAACTTTTTTTTTTTTTTACAAATAAGTACCTTTTAATCTTGAATTTTTTTTTTTTTAATTTGCCAGAGGATGTATTTGTTTATCAGAGAGGAGAGGGTGAAAAGCACCCCCTGCCCAGTGGGGCATGGTCATGCTACCATCCCTTTTCCTCCAGTTTTCCTTCTTGCCAGGATTTGGGGCACACATGTACACACACCCAGCATGTGTGGGGATTTGAACTGCAGTCAGCCATGTTGGATCCAGAGCCCTCAATCAGAGAGCCAAGGAACTGGCCCTTTATCTTGACATTTTTAAACATTCAGCTCAATATTTAACTAAGAGAAAGGTAGGTAGTATTCAGTAAAATAAAATGTATTTTAACAATATTTTCAGGATGCTGCAGAATGGCTAATAAATGCCTCTTGAAGTGTTAATTCTATAGATGAGCCTTTTTGTGTTTCTGTTTTTGCGAACACCTCAATTAAGTTGATTCCCTCAGCAGCCTGCTCCTTGGCCTGTTGAGCTGACCGTCTGTCTGGGTAGACTATGTGACTGCACCAAGCTGGCGACATCATCAATTAAATCTCTCCGAATCTGGTCAATCAGCAAACCATCACTATTTTTCTTATTTACAAAATACCAAACCATTCCTCCAAAGTGTCTTGTTGAACGTAAAAGGTCGTACTTTCCCTGTGTATCTCTGTCTTCATAGGTCTGATGATGAACCCTGATATTCAGCAGAATCAGGCTCAAACTGGGGAACACAGGAGATCGAGGATATCAACAAGCCGGTCCTGGCTGTACACAGTCTTAAGATTTTCTGCTTTGAAAATTAATGGTGGCAAAATCTTACGACCTTCCTTTGGGAAATAAACTTGCATCCTCCAGTCCCGTTCTTCCCACGAGGCTTTGCATAGTGTGCCACTTAGTTCTCTGATGCCAATAAAACGCTCCTGGTGTGGTATGCTATATGATATATCAGTAAACATCTATTTGGCTGTTTCTGTTCCTTCTAAAATCTTATTTTCAGCTAACAGGTCATTTATTGGTGCTCCCTCTTCCAGAACCTGTGGTATTTTAAATCATACTTTAGCTGCCTCAACTGCCTGTCTTGTAGCCTTTTCTAACTCTGCCTGGGTCATTAGCTTACAGGTTGGTGGCTTCAGTGCTTAAAGCTGACTTAAAAGTCTTCTGCAAATTCAAGCCTGTCATCTTGATGAGTATGCTTTGAACCTCTTCATCCATAAATGCAGGTTTTTTGATCTTTGAGCTATCACAATCTGCAGCCTTGAAACCGAGCCCGTGGCATGGCGGCCCCACCTCAAAGGGTTGAAACAGCGGCTGAGGCAGGCACCAGGCTGGGGCTGGGTTCAGGTCCTGAAATGCACTTACTTCGTACCGGGAGAATCAGTCAGGCAGCTCCATAACCAAAATAGTAATGTTTAAAGTGATTTGAAAATTAATTGAGAGTAGATTCATAATCCTGTCATTGGGT